GTACACACCACATTCAATAACATGAAACTTGTTCACACTTTGATGGCTTTGCTATCCTTTATAGGCTAACCTTGGTTCATTAGAATTTTAAACACTTTTTTCCTGATCATAAAGGTCATCTTTAAAAAGACCTCATTAAAAATAATACTGTGTGATACAGATATGGCTAGAGAATAAAATGGAAGCCCATAATTGAAACAGCAGGAAAAAAATAGTAAGTGCCATCAATAGTTTCAGTAGGTGCAAAAACAGTGAATTGACAGTTTAACCAGGCTGACGTTGTATTTTGTTTTGTTTGAGACAGACTTTCAGATGTGACCCAAGTCAGCCCTGAACTTCTGGGGGGTGGGGTGGGGGGAATCATTCAAGAGTGAGAACTATAGGAGGAAAGAGGTAACTGGAAGATGTGAGAAGGGGCCCAGTCTCATCTGGGTCTGGTTTAATTTACACCCTCATAGCAGGAAGAAATAAAGGCATCCTTGGTGTGCTGGACAGTTTTATGTCAACTTGGCACAAGCTAAAGTCATCTGAGAGGAGGGAACCTCAACTGAGAAAATGTCTCCCTAAGACAGTACTGTAGGCAAGCCTGTAGGACATGTTCCTAATCAGAGACTGATGGGGAAGGATTCAAACCATTGTGGGTGGTGCCACCCCTGGGCTGGTGGTCCTGGGTTCTATAAGAAAGCAGACTGAACAAGCCACAATGAGCAAGCCAGTAAGCAGCACTCCTCCATGACCTCTACATCAGCTGCTGCCTCCAGGTTCCTGGCCTGCTTGAATTCCTGTCCTGACTTCTGTCAATGATGATCAGTGATATGGAGGTGTAAGCCAAATAAACCCTTTTCTCCCCAACTTGCTTTTGGTCATGGTGTTTCATCAGAGCAATAAAAACCCTAACCAAGACACCTGGTAAAATGTAGCATTTTTAAATTAAAAAGGTTTTCAATTTAAATTTTTAATGGAACCAAGATAGTTCTGGAAACATTTTTATCATTCCCTACCTACCTAGTTTACTATGAGCCAAGAATCTGATGATGGCTAACTAAGACTCCTTTTCTTGTCTTCCTGCCTAGCAATGATGACAACGTTCTGTTTCTACAACATGTCTTACCAAGAGGTTGTGTTTTAAATTTCTCCAGGAGGCCTTTTCTTCTGTAGAAATATTGAGACAAAAATTTGACACAGGCTTGCTTATAACTTGAGAACTGGATAAGAGGTGTGGGTAAGAAAGAAGCTATGTCTGCAAAGACTGGTTGACTGATTGAACTCAGGGATGTGGAAAGGTTGGATTGTTGCAAATCCAGAGGCTAATGACATCATCCTGAGCTAGCTTCAGCCCCCTAAAGAGCCATTCCTTGCCCATCTCTGTGTCAGAACTAACATCCTGTGACTAATTGGTAAAAAACCTTTTGGAAGCTATTAACTAAGCAGAACACTAGCTTCCACCAACCCAAAAGCCAAGACTGTCATTAGATAGCATCTGAGGCCTACAGAAAGCATCCCTCGTCTTGCACACCTGCCTCTTCAATGTACACACCAATGCATTTTAAACTCACCTGGATTTATGACTTTCTTTGTTCTGTAAAAACTACAAAACTTCATGAAACTGCTTCCATGTTGGAACATGGAATTTGAAGTAACATAAATTTGTGTTTCCGGGTCCATAGTTACTTAAGATGGCTCCAGAATAAACTACATTTTATTCCCTTTAAGATGCGGGCTGTGTTTTTGTGTCAACAGGGCACGTATGCTTCATTTATAGACACTTTAAGTTCTAATTCTATAGAAAAAGGAGTCTGTCTAAAATAATCCTTAAACATGTTCACAGAAAGTTTGAAAAGAATCCATAAAGGAATATACAGGGATTTTTCTGTTTATACCTTTGAGAACTGAAGGAAAAGCCACACCCAGAGGAAAGGTCCTACAAGGCCAGGCGAATGATTACACCTTCACATCTGCAGAGAGTTGGAATGCTGAAGATCCAGAGCCAAATTAACTTGGGCTATTGCTAGTCCCTTGAGAGCCCTATCTGATCTAACATCATTTCAACAAATAGGTAAAGCATTTGGAACATATCAACAGAACACCAGCTTCCACCAACCATTTCTCAGAATGTCATCAGGTTCACGCCTAAACCCATAGTCAAGTTTCCTTCCCTCCTGTTTATAACCAGCCCACCTAATGTTCCCATGGATGTATCGGGGAGGTCCTTGATGTACGGCCTTGTTTTGTTCTGTCTAGAAAAGCTCCTGTAACGCTTCCACACTATAGCACATGCTATAATCAGGTCCACCCATATTCCCAGGCTATGGTCATATGTTTGGCTCAGAACAAAGTTTCTCTTGTTCCCTTTGAAGTGAGAGCAGCATGTTACATGAACCCCATCTTTAGGCATTAGTCATTTTTTCCCACAGTTTGTATTTACTTTCTGTGAATTTTGCTCCTAAAGTGTTAACATAGAGCTCTTGACCAGTTTTCTGTAGATGGTTGCTTTTTCTAAGTTCCATGGCTAAAACAATTTATAATGTAAAGATTTTTAAGGCCCCAACCAGCTGATTTTTCTAGTTAGGGAGCTTGTTTTGTGACTAGGCCCTCGGCTTCAAGCTGGGATCTTTAGTAGTTCCTCCACTGCCTCCTGCAAATGCTGCCCAAGGCTAATTGTTACTGCTAGTGGCACAGTGAGGGGCGGGCGCGGCATGCTCCATATCATAAGAACTCAGCTGCATTTGTTCTCTAGGAAGAAGTCTAATGCACACATTGCTAATGGTTTGTTTATTCTGCGTTAACCATCAATCTGGATGTCGGCCAGACAATTGGCTCAGTGGGAATGCTAGACTCAGTGACCTTGGTGTTTGTGAACCCTCCCCCTGCTACAGAGGGGAGACAGCCTAGGAGAAAAGCAGACTGGTCACCTGACCACAGGGACAATACTGAAGCCCGGGATGACTGATTGACTGCCTTTATTTCCCCGACTTTCTAATCGGCTGGCTAAAGACAGATGCAGACAGATCTGTGGGATGCTGAGCTACTATCTTCTCAGATTGCTGGATCTCTGAACAAAACGGCTTAAAGATTCAGGTCCTCAGCTTTGCCTACAGGACCTGCAGCAGGGCCACCTACCTCCCCAGTGCTTACAGTGAATCAGCACTGGCCCTTTGGTACCCAGAGAAAAGCCAGGCCTGTGGTCTGCTGTGGGTTCCAGGGCAGCAGTGTGGCCCAACATGGGGAACCTGAGGACAATCACATCAGCAAGACGACATCTGGATGATTTCTGGGGGTCACTGAGTTCATTGCCCAGGTTGTCGTCATTTAAATCTTGGTTGTAATTCTCTGAGGTGAGTACAAATATTACCCCTCTTCTCCGATGAGAAAACTGAACCTATGGAGGAAAGTTAGAGAGCGCTCCCGAGATCGCACAGGTAGAGCTAATTTACAACCCGGTGTGCCTTATTTCAAAGCCCAGGCTTTCACTGCAGCTCTCCAGAACATTCCACCCTGAAAGGGAATTTGAGCATGAAAGCACAGATACTTAACCCTCCAAAAAGTTCAGTCTTACTGTGTTGTAACAAAATTTATCTCTCAGTGTTTTCCTGAAGCATTTTATGGAAATGAGGGCATTGTATTTTATAACTAGAGACACCCCGGGCTCACAAATCTCACATTTTCCAGGCTCCTAAATCATAGAGTATCAGGCAGAGATTTCAGGAACCCGATCCAATGGAGAGTAAAAAGACCTACAGGTGATGAAATGAGTTAATGATGCGGACTGCCTAACATCCTAACACCACCCCGGGGAACACAAAATGGAAACCTGCTTCAAGGAATTCAGGCTCTGTTTGCCAAACCTCCACAGCATCGCCCGTTAAAACCTCGGTCTAAGGTTACATCCAGTGTGCGGTTCACATGAGCTAATTGAGAACGTTTTCTGTGCTAGCGCCATTTTCTGACGGCCAGTGTGGAAAATCCCCTTCCAATAGGTAGATCAGAGCTCCCTAATGGATTCGGGCCAATTCAGATCGAATCCAATTCACACCTGCAAGTGAAGGGTGGCCTTCCAACCCGCCCCCCCCCCCCCAACCACCCCCCCCCCCCCCCCCCCCCCCCCCCCCCCGCATGTTTGTGGGCTTGGCTCCCCTCACAGAGCACCCTGAAGGACAAGCCAGACCAGATCTTCAAGTCTAGTCAAAAGTAGAAGCTTGGGCCCCTGGCAAGCAGTCGCACTCGGAGGTCTCTTTTAATTCTGTTTTTCTTTTGCTGGTTGGTTAAGAAAAGCATGTGTGCTCTTGTAAGCAAGAGCATAACACTGGAAGATCAATTGCTAAATGGTCTTATTTTTAATAAAAAAAAAAAAAAAAAAAAAAAAAACCCGGAGCCGGATATTGGGGTGAAAGCCTAGAGATCAGAAGATCAGAGCAAGCCACAGCCACAAGTTCTTACCCTAGAAAATCCTCAGCCAAGAGAGAGCTACTTCCTGTATACTCACACCTCTATGCCTTTCTGTCCCCTTGCCATCTTGCTTCCTCTCTCCGCCCAGCTACATCACTTCCTCTTTCCTCCCAGCTCTATCACTTCCTGTCTGTCTGTACAGACCTCCAGACCTCTATGGTTAACTAGTGCTGGGATTAAAGGCATGTGCCACCATGCCTGGCTCTGTTCACAGTGTGGCCTTGAACTCACAGAGATCCAGATGAATCTCTGCCTCCTGAATGCTAGGATTAAAGGCGTGTGCTACCACTGCCTGACTTCTATGTTTAATATAGTGGCTGGCTTTTTCCTCTGATCCCCAGATAAGATTGAGATGCACAAATAAAATATCATCACCTAACTATAAATCAGAACATTAGCGTCTTCTCCAGTGTTGTTCAGGGAAAGGTACTCCCAAGTCTGAGGGGCAGTTTTCCTCGCTTGTAGGCTACAGATAGCATCTTCCTATTGGTTTAACTATTAAGGCAACTCCATGTAGTTAAAAGGAAGGTTTATTTTGTAGGGTAACTTACAAGTAAAGGGATAGGTTACAGGTCTGGGAAAGGTGAAGCGCAGTCCAGCAGTGTTCTCTGGAGAACTCTGCTCAGTCTACCTCCAGCGTCCAGGGTCCAGGAACCAAGAGAGCTGGCCCATCTCCATCTCGGGTCTTCAGGGGTCCTCTCTCGGCTCTGCCTTGTAGGTGTGACAGTTACTGAAGCCTCAAAGAGGGTGGTACTTCCAGGTCAAAGCTGGAACGGCTACCCACTACATCCTCCCTTGGGAGAAAACAAATACAATGATGATGTATCTGAAAAGACATCACAAAACTATAACCACCATAACTATTTAGTCACAATTCTTTCAGTTTTACAGCTGAGGAGGCTCAAAACTCATACAGATTGAAGCCATATAGCCAATAAGACATAAAACAAGGGGTCAGAGCAAAGGCTCAGGGATTAGGGTTCCCAGCACCCCATGGGGTAACCCCAACAGCCTGGAACTCATGCTCTGGGGGATCTGACACATGCTAACCTCAGGGGCACGTGCACACCTGCAAACATGTTCATCTACCCACACACAGACATATACACATATATACACAATGTGTTAAAAATAAATCATTCATATGTGTGCTTATTTGAACTGGGCCTAATTCCAAATGTTTCTTTTTATATTTCTCCTTCAGGTTTACTGTGAATATAATTTTATTTCACAATGTATACTAGAAGTTTAAACCTGATTGCAAAAGTCCTGCAAAATATTCCAAATGACTTGTAGCCCAGCTGTTCTTAGTGCCTCGAAAGGAAAAGCCAGTATTCAGGCCTCAGAACTAAGAACCAGGTACAAGAATGTTTAAATGCCTGTCACTCTGGTATCAACTGCTGCTGTGGGATGGTCTGTATGTCAAATTACTCTGATTGGTCAATAAATAAAACACTGATTGGCCAGTGGCTAGGCAGGAAGTATAGGCAGGACTAACAGAGAGGAGAAAAGAAAGAACAGGAAGGCAGAGGGAGTCACTGCCAGCCATCGCCATGACAAGCTGTAGAGAGCTGCGTGAAGCTGCATCCTTGAGATGGCGCTGGCTTCCGCCCCCCACCCTCCCGATGGCGAGTGCTCTCTATGTTAAACAACTCCTTATTTGGCTTGGCTTTAGATTTTGGCTTGCTAAGGCATACGTGTACCTATCCAGGAATCCCATGTGGCACATGGTGGCTGGTGGACTGAGACCTATATAAGGCTGGGGCGGGCTCTCCCTAGGGGAGAAGAACAAAGGAAATAGATTTGAAAAGGCCTGAATAAAACAGTTTTGAAGAAGAGCTCGGTGTTGTGTCTTCCTTGCTGGTCGAGGCAGACGCGACAACAAGCAGCATGTGAAGATGCCGGTAAGCCACAAGCCACGTGGCAAGGTATAGATTTATGGAAATGGATTAATTTAAGCTATAAGAACAGTTAGCAAAAAGCCTGCCATGGCCATACAGTTTGTAACCAATATAAGTCTCTGTGTTTACTTGGTTGGGACTGTGGGACTGGCAGGTGACAAAGATTTGTCCTGACTGTGGGCAAGGCAGGAAAACTCTAGCGACAAACTGCTGTTATTCAGTGGCTATTTTTACACTAAACAACTCAGAGTGAAGAAAACATCCTGTGTGTATTCTTTGTCTGTGGAACCCCTCTGCCCTGTGAATCATGGTCATGTAACATTATACTATTGCAAGTGGCTTTCCCCAGTGCTTTTACCAATATGACAGAGTAGAAAGTGTCAATCTGCTGCCCCTAATCAAGGGCAGGATGCTTGTGCACTGCTGGACAAAGTTACTAATTAAAAAATAATACTTGCACACAAAAAAGTAAAAGGAAGAAAATATGGGCTATTTCCCTGCTTTCTTGGCTGAGGAATCTGGCCTAAAAGTTCATGTACATCTTGAATTTGAGTAATCAGTTTGTCTACAAGTAGCAAACAGTTTTTTATGATTTACAGTTTCTTATGCAGTATTTTTCTAGCAAGGGGCTATATAAACTCTATTCATTAGGCAACTCACTATTCTTTAGTTGCTATAGTAAGAAGGTTCTATTAGACTATCTATAAATAACAACAGGTAGCCAAGCAGACTTCTGCCAGTGCAGCTTCCACATCTCCTGGAGAGGGGTCGAGAGATTAAAAAACACAGCTCCAAGGGGAGAATGGGCCATCATAATCTGATGTGTCTTTTTTTTTTTTTTTTTTTTTTTTTTTTAGTGCAAAGACAAAGCAAGAAGGACCAGGCCTCAGAGACATAGCAAGGCCTCGTCTCTGGGAATGTATGAGAGAGTATTTCTAGAAATGCTTAACCAAGGTGGGAAGACCCACCCCAAATGTGGGTGGAACCAATCCACGGGCTGGAAAAAAAGGGGAAAGGGAGAAAGCAGAGTGGTAGAACCCCTTGTGTTCTCCTTCCTGATCCGTGGAAGGGTCCCAGCCACGCCCTCCCAGCTGTGACCCACTGCACTGCACCCTGTTGAACCCTGAGCGCAGACAAATCCTTCTTCGTCTGAGGGGAGAGAGAGAGAGACAGAGACAGAGAGACAGAGACAGAGACAGTGAGACAGAAAGAGAGACAGAGACAGAGAGAGACAGAGAGACAGAGAAACAGAGAGAGAAAGCACAATTATTTGGTCCAGTAGTCGGATTTCTGGGTACATATCCAAAAGAAATGAAATCAGTTTGTCAAGGGGCATCTGCGCCCTGTGTTCATTCACTGCAGCATTGATCATAACCACTGAGACATGGGCTCAAGCTAAATGTCTATCAGCAGACGGATAGGCTAATAAAATGGACTGCCATTCAACCTTAACAAGGGAATCCTGCCATTCACAACAACACAGAAGGTCCTGGAGAACACTGTGTTGAGTGAAGTCAGCCAGGCACAGGACTCAATATCATAAGATCTCACTTACCTAATGAAAACCAACTCATGGAAGCCGGAGGCGATTACCAGGGCTGAAGGGGAAAGAAGAAAGTGGGGATCTGTTGGCCCAAGGGACATAATTTCAGTCAGACAAGAATAAGTTCTAGAGGTGTGCTGTGCAACATGATGACTATAGCAGTGTCATGGTTGGGAGCTGTTAAGAAAGACCTTAAACATTTTCATCACCCAGAAATGTACATAGGTGAGGTAATGATGTAGCACCTTGATTTAACAGTTTCACTACGTGCACACAGACCAGGATAACACACTGAACACATAAGTATACGCAATTTTGTCAATTAGAATTTGATAAATGTTAGACAGAGGCAGGTGGATCTCAGTGAGTTTGAAGCCATTCTGGTCTACAGAATGAGTTCCAGGACAGCCAGGGCTACACAGAGAAACCCTGTCTCGAAAAACAAAAAACAAGAAATTTGATCCATGTGAAAAACTTGTTCTGTAACTTCATGAGTCACGTGAGTGACTACTTGTTCATATCTCAACTTCTCCTTTGCCGTCCTTTCTCTGACCACCAATTATACAGGCTTCTTGTCCACTGTCTGGTGGTGAGTCCCTTCCACTCAATCTTGGAAACCATTTTTATCTTTTAACAAGCACTTTCCCACACATGTTAGAAAGATTTTTCCTAGATTATAATTTTTATTTTATTTTGTGTATTTATTAATCTACACACACACACAAAAATTGTGATAGTATTCCTTGACCCAGGACCGTGTGCATGCTAGACGTGTACTCCCCACTGGACTGTGCCTTCACCCACCAGAGTTTTTAACATTCACCCTCTAACTTTCATGAATCTTGGCTTCACCATTTGCCATCTCTAGCGTTATGTGTGCAGTGGTCTTTCCTTCTCTAAAGATCGACTACACAGTAGTTACTGATCTCTTCTCTTGTGTTTCCATTTCATATATTTGGTTGATTTGGAATCTCTTTTGCTTTATATAATAAAGTAAGGATCTAATTCCATTATTTTTCAAAATAGCCAATCAATTTCCCTGGAATTCTTTATTGAACAATTGTAGGGTCCAAGGAAATGCTGAAGGAAGACCGCAGACTCAAATAGTATGTAAGAGCAAAGAGCATTTATTAATATTCCAGCATGCATGTGGGGTCGTTCACCTGTACAAAATGGCGACGACCCTGAGAGGAGCCTGTAGGCTCCTTTTAAGCACAGCTAAGAGAAGTTTCGGTGACAGTTAGGTCATCTCAAATATGATTGGTTAAACAAGCAGCAGCTATATTAGTATACTTTTAATCGACTGAGGTTTAGTCTTATTATTTTGGGGCATACTTGCACAAACTTGGGTAAGTTCGGACGTGACTCAGAAGGGGGCTGCTGGGTTTGTCCTTGAGATATTGTGAGGCTGGCTCAGGCCTCGTCCCTGAATGTAAGGGCCTTGTGGATAAATGGCCTTTTGTGGAAAAGACACCTGTTTTGCCCTTCTCAGAGAACGGAAATTTAAATTCAGTTGTGAGGGTGGGAGAGTTTAACCCCTTCGCAATCTACTATAAACACTTAGAAATGCTCTAATTACCTAGGAATCAGTGAGTCTCATCCTGATGTTTTTTTTTTTTTCCAGCGTAGAGACAAAACAGGAAGAACCAGGCGTCAGAGACACAGCGAGATCTGAAGTCATTGCCACACCAACCCTACAGAGCATGGCGATGCTCTAGAAACGAGGGGCTAGAACCTAAAAACGCAAATCATTTTCAAGTGTGTACAAGATTCTAGAGGATGTTTTCCTCTCAATTTTCCTCTGATGGGCCTGGTTTTAAAATTGGAGCTCAGAGCGATGATTATACATAAATTATACATACACTTAAAAATTCCTTTTCTATACTAGTCCACACTAGTTTTCCTCATAAATAATGTATTAGGAAGACAGATTTTCTAGTACAATCATTTGTCCCCAGTTACAAAAGCACAGCCGGGCAAGTGTTCAGTTCAGACAGGAAGAACCAGCACCAGGAATTCTTCTTTCCCTTGAGATAAAAATAGAGGGGAATGTCCCCTCCTCCCTCAGTTTGGACCAGGACAGAACCGGCTGATCATGACAAGTTTTGTTTTAATGACCCTGAGAAAAGATCCTGGATCCTCTCCATGTAACTTGTTCCAAACTGTAAAGTTCGCCATTAAAATACAAATCCATGGGGCAGCAATTGGAGCGGTTCCGTCCTTTAAACCAAAGTGCCTGTTACTTGGTGGTGACAGCCCTCTGGCTGTTGTTCTTTGGATTTGTCTCCAGATTAAATAATCCCAACCCTCCAGATCAGTGGTCCTCAACCTTCCTAACGCTGCGACCCCTTAATACAGTTCCTCATGTGGTGGTGACCCCCAGCAATAAAATTTTCATTGCTACTTCATAACTGCAATTTTGCTACTGTTATGAATCATAATGTAAATATTTTTTGAGATAGAGGTTTGTCAAAGGGGTCACAACCCACAGGTTGAGAACCATTGCTCTATACAGCTAAAATTCTAATTTCATGCTCACAAACATCAGAGCAACCTCAGACACTAATTAAGGGCTAAGGAAACACACATAAACACATGAAAATCCACACTCCCTCATTTTAAAAATGTCTATGGCTGATCACAAATTTTCCATTTTAACTCTGAAATTCTGTCTCTTACTCTGCTTCTTAAAAGGTGAACTGTAATGAACCAATCTGGCTTCTATTTGAGGAAAAACTCAGAGGAAAGCCCAGTGTGGGCTCCTCCCTCTGCAGGGGTGGAGAGTGTGAGAGGGAGGCAGAGGTGTGAACATAGGCATCGGATGTTCCTTGTGCAGGCATTGTGAAGGGCACTCTGCTTTGAGCCTGAGCTTTGAGCAAAAAGTGTATCCTTTCCTGGGGAGAGGGGCTAACAAATGGCAGTCCTTGTGACTACGTAAGATAAAGACATTAAAGGGAAGAAAAAGAGAAAAGAGAGGCCCAGCTGTAGAGCTGGGGCCTTGAGCAGGACAATGGCAAGTGACACAAGACAGAGCTCACAACTTCTGAGCTAGTTTGTTCTAAAGACCTACAAGAATATAGTTTTTCAGCTCAATTCTGGGTCAAGGGATCTCAACCAAATAACTGGTCTTAGCCTATTCAGGCCACTGTGTCAAAACTATCTTAGACTATTTGTCTTACTTAGTGTTCTATTGTTGTGAAGAGACACCATGGCCACAGCAACTCTTATAGAGGAAAGGATTTAATTGGGCCTTACGGTTTCAGAGGATTAGCCCATTATCAGCAGGATGAGGGCATGGCAACAGGCAAGCAGACATGGTGCTGGAGAAGTAGCTGAGAGTTCTACATCCAGCTCCTCACTTAGGCGGCAAGAAGAAAAAGATCCTGGGCCCGGCTTGGGCTTTTAAAATGTCATAGTCCACCCCCCAGTGACACACTTCCTCCAACAAGGTCACACCTCCCAATCCTTTCAAATAGTGCTACTCCCTGGTGACCAAGCATTCAAATCTATGAGCCTCTGGGAGCCCTCTTTCAAGCCACCACAACTATTAATTTAGAATTGAAATTTACTGCTCAGCCAGGCAGTGGTGGTGCACACCTTTAATCCCAGCACCTGGGAGGCAGAGCCAGGCGGATCTCTGTGAGTTCGAGGCCAGCCTGGGGTACAGAATGAGTTCCAGGACAGGCGTAAAGCTACATGGAGAAACCCTGTCTTGAAAAACCAAAAATAAAATAAAATAAAATAAAACAAAACAAAATAAAATTTGTTGCTCACAGTTCTGAGGTCTGGAAGGTCTAAGATCAAGATGGCCCCTAGCTTTTGTGACAAAGCACATTCACGAGGTGGGGGAGACAGAGACGTCACCGTCAAATTCTTCTTTAAGGGCAACTAATCATCCATATGGGTTCTGCCTTTGTGATCTGATCGGTTCTGAAGGCAACTAAATTTCAGCATAGGAATTGGGGGATCAATGTACGGCTTATAGGAACTGGAGGACAAAGAAACTTGGACTTTCTGTGTAGTGTCTCACTCATGGTCCAGATGCCACTTCTCTTCCCAGCACCCCTTTCGTCTACCGTCATCAACAGTCCCCACTCCTGCTGGTCATAGCCTCGGGTTCGAGGCCCGGGGGTATGACATGGAGCCAACTCGGCTCAGGCAAGTCTTCATCAGAATGAGATGTGGGTCAGGACTAGGAAGTGCAGTACCTGTTGCCATGACACTCGGCTAAGTTCCTGCTTCCTCTCTTTTTCCCCAATGCATACATCATTTTTACCACCTTTGCATCTGTCGCCCACTCTCAGCAGGTGTCTGTAGAAGCGGGTCGCATTCAAATCACCTACATCAAACACTCCAGGGTGAAGTGTGCAGACGATGCCTGAGTAAAATCTCCTAAGCCCAGCAGTTAGGAGGCTAAGGCAGGAGGATCACAACGAGTTCTAGACTGGTCTGGACTGTAAATGATAAGGCCTTATCGCAAAACAAAACAACAAAACCCATCTTCAGATGAAAAGTGCCCTTTCTACAGTTTGAACTAGTCAAATCTCCACAATGGCAAACTCTGGGTGAAATGAGTTTGGGCCAGGTGTGGGAATTCCATGGCAAGCTAGCATATTGGTGGTGCCTTCAAACGTGTACTAAAAAAAAAAAAATGCTCTCAAATTCAGTTCGGTGTTTGAAGGATACATCAGACATGCTGATAGATGGGAAGCAGGAGGGTGTGGGCTGTGGGGAACGGGTGGGGGTGGGGGGAGGGGGGCAGTGGGAGGCATGGGGAAGCTGGAGAATGGGGGAAGTGGAAGATGGGGGGAAGGATGGCGGAAGGTGGAACACGTGGAAGGCAGGACTCAGTGTGCTCTCTGTTAAGCCGTCACTTCTGCTCTGAGATCTCCAAAGAAAACAAAGGTTTGGTAACCCCGCTCGCACTCATTGCGTTAGCCTCTTGGAGGTTCTCGGCCCCAGCCAGAGCCGCTGTGCTTATTCCCTGACCCTAGACCTCGCCGGGTGACCCGTACACAGTACTGGTCCTGGAGAAGAGTTTACTAAATGTGATCT